TATGGAGGGGAGTTGACAGAACCAAGGTGAAGTTAAGAAATTTTGGGATTTGCACCAAAGCAGTTCTTTGTCAATACAGAGAACAAGCAACTTCGTAGCGGTTTCAGGGAACTCCCTGCCCCTAAAGAGCTATTATGGGAGACTTGATATCAGTTGTTGCAAATCCGTTTGATGTTGCCCATTGTTGGGTGAAAATTATCTGATATATTTACTAATTGTATTGTCATGTTCATGCCATGTGAAAGATAGAAAGAAATTAAAGAAAAGGTTGATCATTGCTCGATCCTTGGGCCTAGATGGCTTCTTTGACAATGAGGAGGAACTCAACAGTAGCAGCAAAGGCTTTCCATAACACAGCAGAGGGAGGCAGGGGGAGTTGCAGGCATTGTCTGGTGGAAATGAGACAGCTAGCACAGCTCCTCTCTCCACCCGGGGCAAGGAATCCCCAGGGCTAGGCTGGCTCTGGCTTCTCCCAGATGACCCCCTTACTCTCCTGTTCAAGCTGGTCTTCCAGTTCTTAGATCCAAAAGTTTACATTTTAAAAAAATTAAAAAGTACATTTCTCAATCTCGGTTAGTGTTTTTTAGACTGCAATCCTATGTCTTTTCACATCTGTGGCCTTTAACATCAGCCTAACAGCAACACAGGGGGCTAGGCTGGCTCTGGCTTCTCCCAGATGACCCCCTTACTCTCCTGTTCAAGCTGGTCTTCCAGTTCTTAGATCCAAAAGTTTACATTTTAAAAAAATTAAAAAGTACATTTCTCAATCTCGGTTAGTGTTTTTTAGACTGCAATCCTATGTCTTTTCACATCTGTGGCCTTTAACATCAGCCTAACAGCAACACAGGATAGTGAGGACCCTGTATGTTCTCAGCAGACTCCCTCTCTTCCTCCACTGCTCCCCACAGGCAGCTGGAACTCAGTCTCCCGCCCCAGTCTCTCATCCTGGACGACACAAGTCTTCCTCAAGACATGGATAATTTATGCCCCTGGGAGAATTTATGCCTCTGAGTCCTGGAATCCCCCAATCCGGAATGTCAATGGGATGCCTCTTTGGCTGTCACCCGCATTCCGAACGGCCCCCTTTCCCCCATGTGGCCCCTCCCTCCCACTCACACCTGCTGAACTGCCTCCGGCTCTGGCTGCAGCAGGGAGGGGCAGGGAGGCCTCCCCCTCTACGTCCCTGCCCCTCATCCTCAGGCACAGGCAAGGTTGCTATGGCAGCTACCTTTCCCAGGGTCCCCGGAGCCTTGAGCTCCAACCTGGGGGAGCCTGGGAAAGGTAGGGGATCAGGTGTTGCTGAGCTTCCTCACTTCCCTGTTCAGACTGTGCTGCACCCCAGGATGGGAAAGGAGAGGGAATCTCCCAACTGAAAGGTGACTCTCCCCAATTCTAGTGCTGAGGTGAGACTCGGACCACAGCAGGAAAAGCAAGCCAAGGGTCTTGTCTGAAGACTCTTTATCTTTTTGTGCTGTCCTGTGAAGGGAATGTTCTTGTTAAAAGAACAAAAGAGTAATAGAAACAGGTTTAAATAAGAACCGAGAAAGCATCCCACCACCAATAGGAATGGAGAATGTTTCTGAGTGAAGACAATGCTTGTCTTGGTCCATTGTGGAATTTCTTCATTAAGGTGGACACAGAGCAGTACATGGAAGCTCTACTATAGATTCTACACCTCCATCCACCAATGGCGTGCCAGAAAGCAGAAAAGAAGCAAGCAATGTTTCGGAGAACCAAGGAGGGAGAATGCTTGTGGACACTTTGTGCTGGTAGAGAATCCCCTCAACCTTTCCCACAGGCAATCCCCCAAAGTGAAGCACAGATCTAAGAGGCAACAGGGTTTCAAAACAGAATGGAAGAGGAGCAACTAAACTCAGAAGCAGTAATGAAAGGATCAGGGCCACTGTATCCCACTATCATTAGAATGAGAGGGATTAAAAGAAGTGCGAGAGAGGTATTGAAAGATTTGACAGTTTATCCACTATGAGACCCATCCTGCAAAGTGTAAGTCACATATCCATGGAAAAAACAGATTGGTGGGCTGTTTTATTCTACTCCCAAGCGGAGTCCTGCAAATACAGCACTCTTGAGAAGACCAGAGGCAGAATTGTTGTAGGGGACAAAGATCTCAAAGGATCTGAGCAACTCAAAGTAAAGGAGAGGAGTCCCTGACAAGGGAAGCTGAGGGACCGTCTAGAAGAGAAACCTCCCCCCCCCTCTC